TTTTCACATGACATTTCTTTATAAAGCTCACGAAATATTCAAATTTAACAAAAAAGAATGTATGTCTCGAGTACAATCAGTATAGCAACAATGTATTTTACGAGCTTCTCTGATACTAACAGAATAACTGCACAATAGCGTAGAATATTTGTGCACCTTCTATTAAATACCAAGAAGTGTTGGTTACAGATTTTTATTAGCATGAGATTTGTTTTCACCAATTTTAAAGCAAGTAAAAAAACCTCAAAATGCAACACAACTGTTTCTGAAACTGTTAAATGCATGTACCATATTCAGATATGTCCATATTCTGATCTCTGGCAAATGTATTTTATTGTAATTACTTAGCAACAACATTAAATAAAAGTATATTATTTATATATACATTTTGTGTCCCCGTGCCAATGGCTGACCTTTTACTGTGGATGATTTTGCTCAACAACAATTGGCTTAAAAACATTTTGTACAGATACCAAAAAAATCAAATCTGAAAGAGGTTTAAGACCTTCAGCTGGGTTATTTTTCTGCAACCTGAAGGTAATTAATCTGCTTACCCATATTCATATATTGCATTTATTTAGGCCTTTGAAATAAAGTTTATAAATGGTGGGTTTGTATCTTGTTTCACATTCATCCACTTATCAAAAAAGTTTAAAAAAAATGCAGCACAAAGGACTTCAAACTGTCACTAGGGTCTGTCAACACAGAATTCAGAGTTTATCTCAGCCCAAGCAGTTGTATGCACAGAGAGTTCCTCCTCCTGCCTGGAGTGCTATTGGATACACTGCTTTTCATATTCCACCTTAGCCAGTAAGTCTATAGGGAACAAAGAACAAATATATTACCTATGACAGGTGACAGGGATGCTAAGCAGCCACCCTCCACTTCGGTTATTGGCTAAAGGGACAGAATAAGGAGCAGATGCAGCGATGCAGAGGCAGCCAGCACTTAGGGACCCATCTCCTTTGCACTGTTTGCACAGATTTTATGTTTTACTAGGAATTATAGTGCCCAGTACATGCTTTACCTGGTATTCTCAACTGGAATCTCCAGTAGTTACAAAATAAAATCACCAGTCTACAAGAGGCCTGAGGTTTCCGTATATTCAACTCGTCTACCCTCTAGCAGCCACAGCTTGTGTACACTGGATACTTGTGTAACCCTGCACACAGGAATCACAAAAAGGCTTCAAAGTCTATACCAAAAGTAAAACAGACAAACACAAACTCCTTGTTTCTAATGGAGTTATAAATTTTGTTTAAAAAAATTTCTATTTTTTTCCTATGTCACTGACTAAAACAACAAAAAGTGCAGAGCACGCTACTGTGACAAGAACTCCAATTAAAACAAAGCTTTTCACGAACTAGTTTGTCTGCTCCAAGACAACAGCACAAACTTGCTTTCCATGAAACATACTTCATTTCCATCAAATAATATAGCTACAACTTGCAAAAAATAAAGAGTAGTAGAAATGTTCATTTCTAAACGAGAACAAGTTCGTAGGAACAGACAGAAAATAAATTACGTTGAATGTGGCAATGATTTGTGATAATGTAGCACATAGCTTCTCAAATGAAAAGTTAAAAATTCTCTCACTCCAATTATGGATAGTCTCTACAGATTATCTTAGTAGAATACAGAGCAAGTATCCAGACAGAAAACCTCTCTTAGTCTTGTAAGTATTAGGAGTTCAATTTGTTAGAATTGTCCTTATTTAACCATATAATACATTAAAAACTTATTAATTTACAGTCTCCAAACTGGCACAAAACCTCCTAATTTCCACTTTAAAATGCGGATCATGGAAAAAAGTAATCACGATATTTCCCAGAACAGTATCTGCCCAGAATTGATTTAATACTGCAATTTTACAAGAACAAACAGATGTCAGAAACCTGTGACACAGATTAATTTGCAATTTAGGCCATCATGTTATCATTAACTTTCCAAGTTAACAACGCCCCTGTCCAACTCACAAAATAAATACAAATTCAATATCCAGAATGTTGGACAAGTTCAGTTTTATCTTTTATTTCATTTCTGAATATTCCCTGTAGGCTCATAAGCCCACTGCAATATAATTGAATGCAACTTGTATTTTTTTTAAACTGAGAAATTAAATCTTAATACGTAAACAGTTGAAGATGTAGATAAAGCATGTTTAAAAAAAATAAAAAAATTAAGTACCATCCAAAATCCAACCATTGAATTGATACACCAGGAACTGCGGAGGCAGACACGAGCACTACAGCTCCAGGCTTCTCTTGGAGAATTTTCTGTCAGATTGTCTCCCCATTAAACAGCAAGATTGCTTTGAAATAATAATTCACTCAAATATTGCTTACTATTAAACGTGCATTCTAAACAAATAAAAAAAATGGTGACAGAACTGAAGCAACAGTGGTTTAGGAAAGCACAGCTGAGAGCTCACTGGATTTTGCACTTAGTCCATTGCAAAATGCTTATGACAGTTTAGAAAGGGTGGTGGAGTAGGCTTTTTAGGGTTTTTTGAGACACTTGAAAAAATAATCTATCCCTTAAAAATTCGCAGCATTAACAACAACAACAAACTAAACAACTGGCCCCGGAGAGACAGTTGCACCCAACAAAACAGTAGAACATTTCTAGAATTTTAAATATTTCTTTTAATAATTGATGTAGTAATTTTGAATCTTCCTGCATAGGATATAACGTGTGAGCAGATTGCATTAACACTGCTTAAACATTTCAACTTGTCAGTATGGCCAAGTCGATTTCTGAAATATTTGCAGTATTTTCCCATCGAAACAGTAATAAAGGTAGAATAAATATATGCCACTGCTTTATAATCACTGAACATTAATGAATATTTTATGTCTTTTTAAATCTCCCTGTTTAATTTAAAAGGGTGAAATTAAGTCTCCTCCCTGCAATATGCCAATTATCTGTAAATCAAACAATAACTTGGCCATTATACTCCTTTTTGTTAATATACCAGAAGCTAATTTGAAAACACTGAACGGCATTTTTAGGTAATAATTGAATAGTCCTTCCTGCCCTCTTGTGGTTGGCAACTGCAACTCACATAGAGCTCTTCCACGATTACAAAAATATACCAGAAGGAAAGTAAAATATTAATTTATTAAAGTGTGAACGAGAGAGTGAAGGAAAAAAAAAATCTCTATCAGTCCCTAGAGAGGAGAGAGACAAAGGAGAGAAGAGAAGGAAAGATATCACAGATTCCCCCAATTTGCGCAGAGTAACTAGATTCATCAGTCGTTTGTTACAGTGCTCACCCTATGCTAAAAGAAAAAAAAATAGATTAAAAAGCCATTAGGGAGTTAACATACAAAACAGTGCTTGTTTTCTATAATTAGACAAATGTTCGCCAACCCTTGTACCTCAGCCAAATCCCCAGCGATTTCCAGGAGATTTTGTGCAGGCAGACATTCACCTGTTCAGCATCAGCTGCACAAGAAAGTCCGGAGCTCTCTTTTCATTTTAGCATCTGAAATTGCCTTCAAAATTTTATATATTACATTGGATGTGATACTTAGATACAAGACCGAAAGGCAAAGAAAGTTTTGGTGCTCGTGCAGGTTATGGCTTGGTAGGGGTTGGTTGGATTTCAGCTGTTTAATGGAGAAAATCATAACCAACTTTTAAACTGCCATTAGCAACAAAGAAGAAAACTTCAGTGCACATAAAGGCAGCCTGGGTTCCCAGGCACTGTCACAGCTTTCTGCTTCCTTTAAGCTGGGTGAAACCCACCAGTGAAGCAGTAATTGGTACAGCACAGAAAAAACCAAACAGACAATACGTACGTATGTGATTTCTTTTAGAATCTCGCCATTTCAAAACTAAAAAGAAATATTCTGATTTCCATATTCAAAATATTTTTAATTGTAAGTGTCAGAGCTTGGACCTTCAAAAAATAAATGGATGCAACTATTTTTGTTTATATTATTTTTTAAAAATAAAAACAGAACTTACTATAATAGGTTTAAAACTGTAAAGCAGAAAACAGGCTTTCACACAGGGTAAAGATCAGAACTTAGCTCTTAATAGGATTCACAGTGAAAACGGTTAATGATCATTTATTGTCACATGAGATACTGCTCCCATAGCCAGTATTATGGAACTTAAAATAATTCTGTCTACAACATCAGCATGTGATAAGAAAAACTTCAATCAAATTTGTTCAGCCCTAAAAGACTGAGACAAGTGTCAGACCACTAGCAAATATACATTTAATTTAAAAAGCAAACATTTAATCTGAATATTTTGTAACTTGAATTCTAAAGAATCACTTTTCTAGATTGTTTGTCATGTCTCCAGAAGTTTGTGAGTTTTACAGAAAATAATATCCAAAACATCTGGCATTAGACACAGCACGGCGCATTGGACAGCAGCCTTTGGCTTTAGAAAGGAGTTTTAAAAATATGCACGTACTTGTTGTTCTAAAGTCAGAGGGTCCAGAGTCATATTGGAGATATTCGTTCCTATAGGACTTAATTCTGACACAGTTCTCTACAACATCACCCCTTGCTGGCCATTCTACAGAACGGCAGTGACGTCTGTTATACACAGAACCATCTGGCTACCAAGCCAGTAAGAATTACAGCACTACGAGAGCAACCAGCAATGGTACAGATGCCTACAAAATGGTGATGGAGCTGGTTAAAAGACAGCAAGACAGAGAGATCTTCAGGGTCTTAAAAATAAAATGTAATTTTAATAGCTTCCTCATCACTCTAGAAGAACGCAATAAACACTGTTCGTATATTTTGCTACTACAATGTAAAAAAAGAAACATTTTTTCTGTATAATTGAATAGAAAACCTTTTTTAGGCCAAGTTCTTTAATTAAATTGCAGCAATCTTGATGATCCAGTTGATTAAACCAAAAGAAGACTAATAAAATAAAGGAAAATCCATCAAGACCATGTAAACCCTCTTAAACAGAGCTGGCATCAGCTATAGTGAGCTATATTTATTCTTCAGCTGTGAAGCAGCACTCACCTCCTGAATGGTACTGCTTCCTGAGAAGTTGAGGTTGTACTCCCGCTGGACTTCTCGATGGGTGACGATCAGCATGAAGTTCTGATTTAATGACTCCTGCAGGGCCCTGAAATGGTTGAAAGAAAAACAAGAAAATCGGAGATAAGCATGTTATAGCTTGTTTTACAGTTAGATGCAAAAGCCCCAGGGTACCCTAAACTCTACGTGGACAAGTCCAGGCACAACATTATCATCTCTCTTTTCACTCTTAAATGCAAGGAAGCATGCTGAGAATGACCAAAGGCCATTCCGAGCTCCATCCTTAAAAAGGTGACTGCAGCCTTTAAAGCTCTCCTAATGTTAAGTATTTTCAAAACTGAGAGTCACATTATCTTCACAAACATCGGGTATACTTAGCACTCATAATGCTATTAATACCAGGTCCGTAAGCATATCGATGACCAGACAAAATATCAAGCTGCAACGCACATTAAGAACTGATGGTAAGTAGAACAAGGCAAAGCATGCTCTCGCTTCTCTGGCATTACCTGAAGCATAAACCAAACGGAAATTCTTCCACTTAGTTTCATTCAAAGCACATAAACCCAGCTAATTAGAACTGGAAAACTAGCCACAGCAAAATTTCTCATGTGGGTATTGAGCATTTAGAAAAGTTAGTTCTGCTCAAATTGGTTTAAATGCACATTAAAACATCTTTAATCACAAGAATTAAAACCAAAATCTTAAGATACAGATTAAACAAGCCAATCATATGATCATGTTGTCACAAACTTAGGGTTTTTCGTGATTTTCCTGGTAACAAAACATCTAGATGTTAAAAAGGCATCCTGTTTGCTTAATTACATACACAATTACGCTGCTATCGACTTTTCAAAGTAGAAGGCAGGAATTCTGTTACAGACACGGCAATTACAGCTGTGCACAATCTTATATGGGCTACAAAACTGCAGCAACTTTGTAACATAGCTTTGATTTCTAAACAAGATTTATGCAGACTTGACCTGTTCAGTAGCATATGGAATTAAACTGGGCTTATCAATTTTTATTTTTTTTAATCACACACTCTTAAAAGAATGACAGACTGGGGTTTTTTTCCTTCACATCTTCACTGTTCCATGACACTTCAACATGCCATTCCTCTTAGCAATAAAAGAAATTCTGTATGCAGGTGAGCACAGCTGGATCTTAAGATACAAGAAGACAAGAAAGACTGCTAGATTATTTGAGTCCTGATTTGTTAGTTTTAATTTTACTGGAATTACTGAGCTGCAGTTTCGGTGCTCAGCTGGTAAGGAACCCATGCAAAACTCACTGGATGCTTTAGCAAGAGATGCACAATTGGCTTTAACATCTGAAGAGAAATTACCTTACAAAAATATCTTCACTACAGACACTACAAATGCAACCTGAAGCAAGTCACCTATGCTGAACATCAAAGTTGGCTACACTTGTCACAAAATCTTGTAAGAAAAGGCCTAAAAAATTAAAATAGTTAACAGTCCTTCAAAAGAGGAAAAAAAAAAAGAGAATCCTAAAATGCTGCATGCCTATTTTCACAGGTAATTCTAATTTGATTGTTAACGCTAAGTTTTGCACCGCCGTCACCATCTTTTCTTTTGGCAAATGTTCAGTAGTAACTAAAATATCCTCCTGCGCTTTTTCAGATTCTGATTTTTTATTTGTTTTCAGCAAATACTGGAGGCGAATGACATATTTAATTGCTCTGAAATCATTAATTACAGCATACGTGAATGGCTTTGGATTCCATACAGAATTACACAAGGCTCTATTATAGCTGTTTTTGACTCCATCTGAAAATCCTTAGATGCAAACCGATAACAACTCACATTTTCATTCTGTAATTGATGTAAACATAGAATGAAACAGGCTACTTTGATCAAACCCTCAGCTTCTCAAGGTATGCACAATGCACACGCATCGGCACTAACCAAAATACAGCAAGCTAATAAAAAGCATCTGTTCATAGGAAAGGTTTTCCGCTTCTCTATTTCATCTGGATGCAATAGCAGAGTATTTTTAGAAAAGGAAAAATACTCTTCAAACACAGTTAATTTAAGTGCCTTATATTTAAAAACCTCCGTTTTTGAAGTAACTAACAATTTTAGCACCTCTACTTTTTGGATTTCTAAACAACACAAGCTCAGTGTTGTTAAAATGCAAATTCTCAGTACATATTCATAGTCAAATACAGCCAAAGAGGAGGCAGAAAATTAAGCTGGCTAACAAAAAAAAAACCCACCTGAAAAAAATGAGGAAAATTGGTTTTGAAAGTGTTAGCAATTAAAATGCACGGTTAATTATTCTCCTTTTCTTCAGAAAAATAATATAATGAGGAATACTACTTCTGCTTACACAGAAATACAGTGGTCAACTGATCCAATCCTTTGAGCTCCTACATCAAGGTTTCCTAAGGTCTGACAGCTGTGAGACCTGGACCATATATGTTAGAAGGTCGATGGGAGCAGGAACCGACGGCACATCTGATGGGTCAGCTGTGCCAGTGACTTCCTACACTTACCAACACCTTCTGCAGGATGGGCTTGATTTTGATGGCCAGCAATGTCAGTCCCCACCCATATTCATTTCCTCTAGCAACTAAGGAAGGAGATTACCCCAAATTATTTCTCCCAATAAAACTCTGCTTCCAAACAACAGCTTGCCCTAAAATTGTATTTTCAGTCACTGATCAAACGTACAAATGATCAAATGTACAAAATAAGTGTACAAAGTAAGTGTATTTTAAGGGCACTTCTCACTGACCGCAAGCTGAAGCTTACTTTTGCTTCTTTTTAGGTGCACATAACTGTATTGAGAAGACTGACTTTGAACACAATGCACATTCCTAAAATTTTGGCTTCAGTGTTTGCAGCATTTTTCCTTTTCCTGCAAATGTCATCAGTTGACTATACTCTCCCAAAAGAAACATCTGCATTAAAAGAAAAAAATACCAGGGCCAAACCCCAGGTTCCATTAAAGTCAAGATAAATTTTCTTTTTTCTACTTTTTTTTCCTCAATTTTTTTCCATCAGGGCTAACACAATTAATCTGAGAATTAATTAGTGGGAATAGAAAACAAAATTCTACAAACAGGACTAAAGTAGGCCACTTCTATCAGCACCTTTTCCCCCTACTGCAAACCCTAGTTTTCAAAAGCATTTGCTGATAGATTATATACTGCCATGACTTTTTTTTTCCCCTCAATTGAACAATTATACATTCAATATTCAGCACATGAGGCAAGGGAACTTGATGGTATTTTTGGCCACCAGTCTTCCATTAGAGGAACTCTGCCTACACTCAAAAAAGAAGTCTAAGAACAGACAAAAGAAAATGGACCCGAGCACAGTTATTGCTCTGGCCAGTTCTAGCAAGAAAGACTCGGACCAGGTTAGGATTTCATATGGACTGTCTATATAGCACTAGTTATCGGCATTATCACAATGCACAGAAACCTCAGAGGTGGACCAGAATTCAGCTGGGTTTGAAATTCTACGGTATGCAAACAAAAATGTTTCTCTTTGAAACTTGAATTTCAAGCAACAAAAGTTGTAAGAATTTTTTTCCACTAAACTCAAAATACCAAAACTCAATTAAAAGTCTGGAAAGAGCTTATGCACCAGCTACTCCATCCAAATTCCAATACAGTACACAATTATAAACCGCAAGTCTAATAAATTAAGAAAACAAACAATATTGAGCCAAAAAATGTGTATTCTTAGGGAACAGCAACTGGTCAATCAGCATATGCAATGCTTAAGTAGGATGGTATTAGTACTGTTATTTATCATATTTTAAGCTTTCAGTTTTACTGTTTTTTCTATTCGTATATAACACAATGTATAAAATAGATTGGTTGTATCTATTGTTAAGTGACTGCCTTAATGCTTTGATTTGTTCATCTAATACTTTGCTTTTAATAGCATTTTTCTTTGGCATTTTAGTAATATATTAAGCTTTGAAACCAAAAGTATATCCGTAATCAATGCCCAGCAAATGTTCCTTATCAGTTCAGTTGTGTAAGTTTTTATGAAATACATTTAGCATTTCCCATTAGGCAGTGTTTCTCTCAGTCACGTGGAGATTTTCCCCAAAATCTCTGAATTTTATATAAAAAGGTATGACACAAGGTAATTAACATTTCCATTTTAAACTTACAGATTTATACAAGCTCATGTCAACAGAAGTCCAAATTTACTGTAATTACAGATTATTTACATTAAAACAAAATAAGAAATCAGTATGTAAATGTAATGTTTGTTGTAGCTAATGCAGCAGGAGGTGGTAGATTAGGTTCAAACAGCAATCAGTTAGCAAATCTGGCTAACATGTAAATGAGCTGAAGCCCTCTTGTTTACATTCTATTGCATTTTAAACTTCAGGATTTTTAAAATGTCTCATGAGCAGATGTGAAAATAAAACATTAATCTTACTGTTCTTAGTGAAGCTTTCAAAGTAACTAAAGCAAGGCACTGCTCCTGTCCAGCTAAACAGACAATACTAATAATTGGAGTTGCAGGTTACACCGTTCTTAATTAACACTCTGCTACAGTTGATAGCATACAAGACACTACGCCACGATCACCACTGCTCTGCAACAATCTAAAACACAGGCTTTCAGCAATATATGTACCCATTGCTCAAAAGATGTGAGCTGTGGGGTTTTTTCCTATCCACACAGATGACTGCACTTCTCAAATAAGTTAAAATCACTTAGTGAAAATACTTTATTCATAATAATCTCCAAGGTATGCACCTGGTAAAATAGCTTTTAACCTGTTTTGAACTTTCCAATGATTCATGAGGTATAACAAAGTATCTAAGACTTTCAGATATTCAGCAAAGTATAAATATAAAATACATTATTATATCCACTAACACAACAGCCAAATTAAAAATTGATAAAAAGCATCCTCCAGAACATGCAAGACAGAAAGGAGAGATGATCCAGATGACACAGCTCCATGGCCAGACTCACATGCCTGTGCTTTTGATGTTCCCCTCTTGCATTATCCAAAATCCTTTTCCTGAACTGGGTATTGCTGGCTTTCAAGAGGCAACAAAGGGAAGCATTTGCACTCTGAGGAAGCAAAGAATCTAATTTGACAAAGCTGGTGCAAGGATCTCTCCCCTTGGACAGTTAAATGAAGGACATTCTTTGTCACCTTTCCTTTTAAGACTGCTTTCCAAAGGAAATCACGTTCTTCTCCATCCACCTGTCTTGTTTGGTAACTTTTGAATACATTCACTAGTTTCAGTAAGTCTGTCAGCGTTACAGAGGCCTCAAAGATTGGGTGTAAATCAACAACTGGATGGACGAAAGGGACCCAAATTATTACCCACCTTAGTAAAAGGTCACATTATAAGCATAGCATTTTATACTCCATCCAGCTGATCTCTGGCCAGTGGCATGCAATTTCCCCTTTCCTTTGATATTACCTGACTACCAGCTGGAGATGAGAGGCAGGGCAGGCCGACTATGTAGAGGAAAGAAAAAATCTTATAGATGGTACAAAAGACATGGGAAGAACTGGAGGCTGTGTTGGAGACAGGTGAGATCACAGGAAGCATGGAGGGAGAGGGCTGAGTTACTGCAGCCGCAGGGATGAGGCAGGAATTCATTAGAAATCAGGTTTTATTACATCCACAGCTCACAGGACACGTCGTTATTGTTCTGGATATCGTGTGTGGATAAGTATTGCTTTGCCAGCTGAAAGTGAAAGTAGGTCATGTAACCCTACAGGTGGTATTTGACATTTAAATTTAATCTTTACACCTCAATTTACTAGCATGCCGTAGTAACTCACCGGGTTTCTATTACATATAAAAGCTTTAGATATGCCACTGATGAATGAAGATATCCTAGGAGATTTTTGCTTATTTAAACTGCAGGATCACTTTGCCATTACATTGAGATGCTAGTTTAAATCAGTTCTGGGTTAAGCCCATTCAGTCTGTCACAATAAACTTCAATGCCCATGTACCAATACATTGGAAAATGACATTTCAGACACTGCTGTCCCTCAGTGTCAAGAACAAGCACAGACTGGAGTTTATAGAGCTGTGACCGTATAGCTCCTTTTAAGGAGGGCATATACATAAAATATCATGTACTGAAATCTCAGTTATTTCAAATATCAATTTCTGGAGATATTAAAATCACAAGTATTTGTCTCTAGTTCAAAACAGAAAGCATTTGAAGAAAACAACATATGAACTCACAAAGTAAGAGGCAAAGTTCCCTAGCATCCATTAATAATAGATGTGAGCATGACGCTTTTAAAAATTGTGGGTAACAAACTAATCTGAATAATAACTGACCTAACAGTAGGCAGTAAACAGTGTAACTGGGTTTGGTACATTGCTTCAATTAGATGTGTTTTGATCTGCATTGACGCTTTAATTGGAGGCAAGCCTCCCCTTTCATCTAGAATTTATGACTTCAGGAAGATGATCTAGCCTTCAAATTATCCTCGTTTAAGTAGCCACTAATTAATCACCATTTGCTATCCCAAAAGTACCAACTTTATCTTTAAAATATCCAGAACTAATCTCCACTATGAAACAAGTGCAAACTGTAAAGGTAACAGCTACTTTGATTTTACTAGCAAGAAAAGTTCTTCCAAACCATTCATCCAATAAAAAAAACCTAAGAACTGTTTTAAAGTTTGTTGTTATGCAGTTTATTTCAGTTGCAATAAACCATGTTTTTGAGACCCCAGGTTTTTTTTCCAGAGTGAAAGACATTCAAATTACAATATATAGTGATACCTGGCTTGAAAACTTTTAAATTGGAAATGGATTTTTAAAAAACCAACCAATTAGTATCTACAGTGTCTTTCCACAGTATTTCCACTCTCCTTCAATTAGCTGCTTAAGTGCAAGGGCTTACTGTCCTCACACACAACCACAGCTTCTGTTTGCACATACAGAGCACACGCCTTGCACATACAGCTCACCACCACCCTGCTCCCTCTGTTCCCATGCGACTATTCCCTCTCTTAATGTTTCTTTTATTACTACTACTTTTATAACTCATATCAGCATCCTTATTTTCTCCACAGACTACACAGTTATGTGCACAAGTACCTTTAACAATATACGAAGTCCTTTTAGTCGCTAGGAAACCAGCTATTTATTTCCAATGGTTGTCAAAGAATTTCCTTCATCACTAATATGACTGCATTTGTAGAATATTCTCCTATCAACCACAATAGCAGAAAACCAACTCCCTCTCCAGACACCTTGAAGGCACTCCAGTCGAACAACCATGCAGTCTGACCAATTCCGAATGCAGCCCTCTCCGCTGGCTTGCGGCCGGAGCAGCACTGCTCTCCCAGGCTCAATGACTGGGCACCCTCTAGCGTCTACTAATAAAATTAATATTTTCCTGTGTACAGGTCTGCTTTTGGGAAAGGGAAGGGCAGGATAGAAAACAAGCCAAACTAATAAAAGTAATTGCAAATTTCTTTATAAAAGCAAAGATTCCATTTACCATAAAAGAACATTTAATTTTCAAACCTTAGCAATATCCACTGACATATGAACACTCACCGTTAACTTTGAGTATTCAAATCAGCAGTAAAAGATATCCTGTGCAGTTAGAGGAAATTGACTTTTCAGCCTATCTACATACAAGTTCAAGAAGATAAAATAACGTAACAAACATTTCAGAAAGAAAATTCTGATCTGCTGGCAATGATCTGTATAAGTTTACATTAAATGAACCAACATAATGCAGTAACTTACAAAAGGCCAGCTCTCATTTCCACAGGGACAAGATTTCTGCTAAAGTCATCACATCTGGGAGGTGTATATTCTGCATGTATGTAAGTGGTTCATGGACCACACCAAGGTTTTAAAAAGCTTAATCTTCTTTTCAACAATGAGGTGCTGAGGTAGTTCACCCCAACACTTGCTATAGCAGTGAGAACTCTTTGAATTTACTGATTGCAGATTCCTGCAAGGACACATGTGGCTTCATAAAAACCATACAAAACCAAATCATAAAAGTAGAATTTATGGCCAAAAGACTTACCCAGAATGACTTGAAGAAGGAGGAGGCAGGTCAAGTGTTAGAACATAAAGACTATTATTTTTTGGCAAGTGTAGAGTTTTTAAAACAGTCTGAGGGGAGAAAAATAATTACAAATATAAAACATTCACCAATTTTTACATATTAATTTATTTCTTTTACTCATTGATACTTATTTACAAAACCAAAAAATATTTTGTTTTGAGATATACTTACTGTTAAGTTTATAACATCCTTACTGTAGGTGGGCCACATTATACATAAAAACAACATTGATTAACTTCTTTTTTAACAATGTTTTAGTTTAAGAGTTCCTAGAATGCCACCCGAGACATCTAACACTGTTTCAAACTCACAGTTCTTGTACTGTAATCCCCACCCACAAACGCTCAGTTTGAAACTCCGAATTCAATTAACTGAAAACACAGCTGAAAACTTACGCTATCATCTACATCTCCAGTCTTCCACCCTTTTAACAGCATTTTAGATGCAGGGATCTGAAGTTCATTTTCTAGAATGTGTTTGATATCTCCTAAAGAGAAAAAGAAAATATGTAAAAATATACACACTTACTGCTTATTTATTTCAAACAGTATTGAGCTACAGTTAAAAAATGAGAGCAAAGAAAATTCACTATGAAAAACATTTTTAACCTAGTTAGCCTTGTAACATACACTTCAAACAGTAAAGTACAAATGAAGCTAAAAAAAAAATTTAAAAGTCATATAAACCATGAACAACTGGAGAATCACATGAGGATGTGATGATCTGTACATATATTTGAATAGTTCTACACTGCTTATGCTAGGCACACACACTTGCAGATGCATGCTACCTGGAGCAATGGACTTCGCCAGCAATAAAGTAGGTGCGTATTTTTGATACCTAATTCCATTTCCAATAGTCTTGACCTACAGAACTGGAATGTTCATATAATTTAACTGCTCTGCCAGCTTTTTCCATGTTTTGCCCATTTCTATGCTCTCCTCTCCCTGTAGTTATTACAGTCATAAAATACTTCAGGCTGGAAAGGAGGTCAGCTAGCCAGCTCAAAGGTCTAATTAAATCAGTTCAGTCAAGGATTTGTCCAGCTGACTCTCGAACACCTCTAAGGATGGAGGTTTGACAGCTTCTCTGACAAGACTGTTTCAGTACTTTACCACTCTCACAACTGAGGAAAAAAAAATCCTTATATCTAATGGGAATTTTTGATGTTGCAAATTGTGTCCATTGCCTCTCATCTTATTATCATGCACCTCACAGAAGAGTCTGGCTCCATCTTCTCTGTGTCCTCCCAGCAGGCAGTCCTAGACAGAGGTAAGGTCTCTACCTTTTTCTTTCTCTTCCTCAGGCTGCACAAATCCAGTTGTCTGTGCCTCTCCTTCTATGCTGCCATGTGCTCCAATTCCCCTGACTCTCTTGCCAGCCTCTGCTGGACTCACTGCAGAATGCCAACATCTTTCCTGCACTGGGGACCTCAAAATTGGGTGCAGCGCTCCAGATGTAGTCTCGCAAGTGCTGAATAGACAGGAAAAATTATTTCCCCAGATTCTTTGGCTACACTCTTGCTAACACAGCCTAGGATGCCGCTGGCTTTCTTCACTGCAAGGGTGCACTGCTGATGCACCCGTAGGTGTTTGTTTTGGTTTGGTTTTTTTATAAAGTTGCTTTCTAGCCTGTCAGACTTCAGCCAGTTATCAGATGGGATAACATGGAGTTATCCTACCAGAGATGCAGGACTTCAACTTTGCTTTGTTTGAGCTTCATGAGGCTCCTGTCAGCCCATTTCTCCAGGATGTCCAAGGCCCTCTAAATAGCAGCCTCGCGCTCAAGAATATCAGCCACTTTCTCTGATCTGGTACTCTTTGTGAACTTGGCAAAAGCATTAACCTTAACAACTAGGTTTTAAAATAAAGACATTAAGCAACACTGTTCCTAGGATCAACCCCTGAGGGACGTCCTTAAACTAGTAACGGTTCACCAGTCATAGTTTGAGCCCAGCAGCCCAGGCAGTTATCTACCTACTTTATCAGACCACTCATCCAGTCCTTATCTTAACAATATGACTATAAGAATCCTACTGCAGAGTAGTCTCACTAAAATCCAAGGGACATCCACTGTTCTTCCTTTGTCCACAGAGCCAGTCATCAAAACAAAGGCAAATAATGTTGATTAGGCACAATTCGCCCTTAGCAAATGCAAGCAGGCTGTTCCAAATCATCTTCTTTTCTATCCTGTGTTCAGAAAGAAGCTTCCAGAAAGATTCCATAATCTTCCCATAGACCAAGCTCAGCAGTCACCATTGAACACTAACCTTACATTTTCCTTAGCCTTTCTTTTCATGCTGATGTACTTACAGAAGCCCTTCTAATCCCTCAGTGGTTTCAGCTCCACCGAGCTTTGGCCTTCCTAATTCCAAACCTGCATATTCTGGCAACATCTCTGTATTCCTCCAGGGTAGCACATCACTACCTTCCACCTTCTGGGCACTTTCTCTTTGTGTTTAGCTTCGTCAGAAATTCTTTGTTCTTCTGTGCTGGCCTTCTGCCATGCTTGCTCCTCTTTCTGCATGTCGGAAGGAACAGTTCTTGTGCTTTGAAGAGGCAGTCCTCGAAGATTAACCAGCTTTTGGGCCCCTTTGCCCTCAGGGCAGTCTCTCATGGGATCCTGCCAAGCAGATCCCTGAAAAAGCAAAAAATCTTCTTCCCTGAAGTACACAGTTGAAGTTCTACTATTTGCCTCGCTCACTTCTCTCAGGACTTTAAACACAAGGCGGCCCTCAATCTCCACAGGCCAAGATAGAGATAAAAGTTCTACAGTGACTACTTCTGCCCTACAGATTAATCATTTATACCTGAAAGAAGTTAATAAGAAAAAAAATAAAATACTATGGCTGTAAAATTCTTATTTGCTCAGACGTTTATATCTGCTTTGTATGGATGCAAATCAGTGCAGTGGAAAACAGGAATTCGAACTAAGCACCACGAGGTGGCACTAGCCATTACCAAATCGAATGCAAAGGTGGCAAATAAGGATCAAAAGTTTCCATTACAAAATTTCATCACAGGCATAAGGCTGCAGCATGGAAAATTGTTTTGATCAACTATTTCTTCATTAAGTTCCTTATTTTGATCTGTAGAGAGTCTTCACTTAAAAAAATTATATTTAAAAAAAACACAAACAAAAACCCCAAACAAACATAAAGCCCCACCTCTTCATCCTTAGCAAAAGTAAATTAACTCAAAGTTCGGGGAATGTGAACAATAACATGCTCTGCAATGCTAACAATAGTGTATTTCTAACACACTGTTACAGAATGCATCGGTTTTACGATGAAGACAATAAAACTTACAAAAGAAACCTTAATTTGCAAAAACAAGTCAAATAAAAATTCAAAAAAGAAGAACGCAACAATGCTCTTAGCACTGGAAAGAATTCCTCTAAATCTTGTCAGCAATCCTACGCAGAAGGAGATGCCATACAGATTTGAAAAGGCAATAACAAGATCATCCGTTTATTAGATTCCATCTACACTAATCCTACCCCATACTATATTTTCATGCCTCAACTCAATCAGCAATCTCGATTTTAAATCTGAAGCAAGTTCATAAGAAAACTAGATTTCAAAATAAATATTCAATAGATCACTAACCTATACAATGGATTAGTGAAATTTTTGCTTTTTTGAAGGCTGCAAAGAGATTTGAAAACAGTAGCTGTGACAGCTGCATTTTCTGGAGGTTTTTTTTTTTTTTCTTCTTCTTCGAGCGATTTTGCTTTGCTTTCTTTTTTTAGGATTTGGATTTCTGGGGTCGGGTATTTTCTGTTTGTTTCAGTTTTAACAATTTTACCACAACAGTTTTAATTTAATTTTTACAAATCCTTACCAACTGCGGAGCTGTCTTCAAGTACTACATCCACATTTCTGTCTCTGTATTCAACCCTGAAGTCCAGCATTCGAGGTTGTCTTTCCACTATTTGTCTAGACGGCACTACATGGCGAAACGCTGAGGATGAGGAAGGAGTTGAGGAAGCTGCTGTAGAATGACTTGTGGGGCCATACGCTGGTCCATGTAAAGTCTCTCCACCATACTCACTGAAAGACATGCAGATAAGAAGATTTAAACGGAACAGCTTGATGTGTTTAAATTAAAGTTAGCAAAGCAAAATGAACAGCATTATTCACTTACTGTGGTCCGCAGCACATACCTCTTGAATAAACTACACTGTAATTTCTGAAAATAATGTTTTTTTAATAATTAGAAAATAACTTTCATAATATTAACACTTAAGTGACTCAGAATTGCTATAGGATAAGAGATTAAATGACAAACAAGAATTTAAGACATTATTTCAGTCTAGAGTTTACTATGTAACTAATATCAGAATTATCTTGAGAAGAAGGATTATTTCTTGTTCCAGGAGTGCTGTGACCGTATAAAAATTGGCACCATGGCAACGACCATCTTTCTACATCATTGGGCTAGTATCATATGGACATGAGATTAAGAAATAAAGCTTAAAATACTGCACGTGTATCAGTATTTTCCAATAACAGATTAGTGGAAAACAAGTCCAATATGAAAATAGTTCTGTACTTAAGGTAAATAAATTAAGATAATAAGGTATATATATTGCAAAAAATACCTAGAAGTACAACAGGAAAGCAATGCTGAATTCTAGCTTGTCTTTAAGTTCAAAATCCTTCAGGCCTCCTTTCAGATAAGGATGTCTCCATACCTGGCTCAAGGACATATACAGCATTACAAGTCAGAATAAACTGGAAACCCTCACTACCCAGAAGCACTTCATCCTCAGTGAGCCTCTCCACAGAAAGCATGTAATTGGGATTAGAAACAAAGGCAACAAAACCTGAAATTTAAGGAACATTACTCCAGGCTGACAAAAACCTGTGATGTTCAGAAACTAAATTTGGAAGGCAAAAGGCTACATAGGGCGAGCCTAGAGCTTTGCCTTGTAAATGTCCTTACCAGGAAGATTATCTGTCTTGAGCAGTGACAGGATATCACAGCAGAGGATGCAAGCTCATACAGTGTATGCACTGAAAGAACGGAAGCCGAGCAAAGAAAGATTTAGGAAGCGCTGAGATGTAAGTTGTCTCATTTCCAGTCTGAAACAGAACCGATCTGAAAAACGCACTCTGCCCTTCTTGAAGATACCACCAGAACTCTCAATGGAAATGCTTCTTATAGCACATCAAATCTGTCATCTAGAGGAGGCCTGAACTTAAAAAAAGCATAAATGTGGATGGCATGCGTGTCACGGAAGTGCAGAAGCTATACACAGCTACTGCCACTCCCATTGTTGCTCTTTCCACACTTGAAAAAGAAAAACCTGTTATGCTCCTGTAAAACAAAGGGCTCCTTCCCTTCTCGTATCTATGGGCTCAGAAGGATGAATTCCCAGCTACAAAGACCCACACTAGAAGACCCATTTCAGAGGTCTAAATAATACAGGGAAGTCTTATTTTCAGGATTTAAAAATGTATAATTCAAGAGATATGTTCTTGTTTTAAATCTGATGTCCTACTATGAATTAAGTACTATAGACATTTTGTTAACAGACCTAAGAAGCAATGAATACCCTGATTCTCAGGACTGGATTTTTTATTTGTTTATGTATTAAATAATACAATTGAATTATAAAACAAAATTTATTTTTTCCTTCAATAGATTAACTAAATCCAAGTCCAGTTGTATTAACTCTATTTGATTCCACCAGAAAAGGCATCCTACATATCTGACTGGCAATCTCTAATGAAACATAAAAAGCCTTATCTGAAAACCACTGGAAACCAGACTCCTAAGGCTTCTAGGTCTCCTTTTAAACTACTTCCATTGGAAAAAAAAAAAAGAAAAAGAAAAAGAAAAAAAAATCTGAGACACAATTGACTGTCTAATCATTTCTAAAAACTAATAAATCAGCATTGAAGAAAGCCGTAAGTGCACACTGGACCAGCATGTTATCCAAGTCAGACATAACTACTCCCAAGCTCCCTCCTCCTGACCAAATGGTTCACGGAATCATGGAATTGTTTAGGTTGGAAAAGACCTTTAAGATCATCCAGTCCGACCGTTAACCCAGCACTGCAAAGTCCACCACTAGACCACGTCCCTAAGTACCACATCTACACATCTTTTAAATCTCTCCAGGGATCAGGACTCCACCACTACCCTAGGCAGCCAGTTCCAATGCTTGACAACCCTTTTGGTGAAAATTTTTTTCCTAATATCCTATCTAAACCTCCTGTGGAGCAGCTTGAGGTCATTTCCTCTCCAGCTATCACTTGTTACTGGGGAGAAAGACCAACACCCACCTTGCTACAATCTGCTTTCAGGTAGTTGTAGAGAGCAATAAGGACTCCCCTCACCCTCCTTTTCTCCAGGCTAAACAACGCCAATTCCCTCAGCTGCTCCTCACTGCCCTTCTATAGGGCCTTCCTACCCTCAGCAGATCAACACTCCTTGGTGTCATCTACAGACTTAGTGAGGGCACACTCAATCCCCTTGTCCAGATCATAGACAAAGGTATAAAACAGAACTGGCCCCAGTACTGAGCCCTGGGGAACACCACTTGTGACCGGCCACGAGCTGGGTTTAACTCCATTCACCACAGGCCTTATCTGGGCCTGGTCATCCAGCCCGTGTTTTACCCAGTGAAGAGAACAGCCAGTTTCTCCAGGAGAATGCTGTGGAAAATGGTGTCCAAGGCTTAACAATGTTCCAAACATTCTGGTATTTCACGTATAAATGCTTTGAGGTCAGGACTTACTAACACAGGCACAGAAAGTGCTCAAAACAACAGAAACCTGATCTCAGATGGGCTAGGTAGGCCTTACACTAAACAAACATGTAGTAACTTTCCTGAGCAAATAAGGTTTTATCCTGAATCAAAACCCTGCTCTATTTAATGATAGCCTTATTAAGGATAGACAGATATGCTAAAACATCACTTTACCTACATTATTTATCTTTTTTCATCATTAAACTAAACTTTTTTAAATAGTACATTGAATATTTTTCTAAACAATATTTTAAACACTATTTTATTGTCTCTCTCAAGTAGCTCAATTCCTGTTCTACCATTTTCAATTGCCTCATCAGCACTTAAGAGCTCATGCTTCAGTGACTTCAAGACATCCAGGCATCAGTAGCCAAAATTTAATTCAGATGCTGAAAGAAAATCAGTAAAGCTACTTCTAGAAGAGAACAACCTTACTTTATCTAACACACTGCCTGAAATTGCGTTTAAAAAACAAAAAAACAAAACTGACAAAAACACAAACATTTTTGGCAAGGGACAGGGAAGCATGGAATATCAATACCTTTAAAAATCCATAGGGAAAAAGAAAATACTTAGCCAGAAACTTCTGTGAATTTGCCTTGCGAATTTTTAGATCTTTGGAAAAACAAATAAAAACAAACAACAAAAAATTCCAAGTCCTGACATGCAAGAAAGCATCCCAAAATCCAGGCTTAGTAAAGAGACGTCCCTGCACAGAATGACCCAACAACAAATTAATTAAAAATAAACTACTTTTAATTTAAAAACTAAATGTTAAATCAGCTTTGTCAGAAATTGAGCCTGCGGGTCCAGAAACTGCTTTACAAGGAGAATTACTTAATCCTCTTAAGATTCGGGAACAAAAACGTAACATTACCCAGCATCATTCCTTGTGTGTAGTACTCCAGTTGTCTGTGCTTACCTTTGTAGAATGCCATTTTCTTGTGGTATGACACCATTTATAGCTGCCTGAAAAGAGACAACAAATTCTGAGTCAAGCATACAGGGAAACAAAAATAAATCAGAACTTCTATAATATGTTTAAAGAGTGACTAGCTTGCTTTGAAATATGCTATAAAATGTTCTCCATTCAGTGAATACTCTTGGTAAACAATACTGTCATTAAAGTACCTGCCTAAGACAAAAACCATATCTAAGTGAAAAATGGATATTGAATTGAAGCTCAGACTCCTAGATGTGTGTGATGGATTTCCCAGGTGAAACGCATGGGAATAAACTGCATGGCCCACGCTCAGTACATCTAACTCTTTGTATACTTGGTACATACATATAGTGAACACACTGCTTCCAGACACATTAAGCTAACTGTGCACAGACAAGGCAGTCAGACAGCACGTACACAGAAAATCTAATGTTTCCCAGAAGTATTGCACAGCTGCACATACACTGCATGCTGCAAGCCTGACACGTTCACAAATTGCTGAAGTCGATGCTAACAGCTACTCAACAGCACACACACCACGATCACACCTACACCTTCCAGACAACCTGCTTCTACACACGCAAATACCATCCAGTCTCTTCAGAAGCCCTCATGTGCCAGGGAACCACAGAAATTAATACCCAAAAATTCAAACAATCTTCAGGTAGAAAAGGAAGTATTTTTTAAGTAAGGTTTATGTGGTTAAATATCACCCCATGCTGTGCAGATCACCAGAATAAGCAAAATATTACTTACAGGTGTATAAGTACGCACCTGGCAAGCTGCATTCAAATTTGGTCTTATTTGAAATTACAGAGTTATTACCTATAAAAATAGCCTAATGAAATTTATCTCATATTAAAATGGATTACATTTAGAATAGCCACAACATACCCCAGTTGCAAGTTCAAAACTCCACTTCTGAAAAAACTGTCTTCTCCGCCTGTTACAGCATTGCTCCATTCTATGCTGCAGAAAGAAGTACCTTACCTAACTTCCCAAACTTCAGACTTTTAATCCTAACCCAGCAATGGGCAGAGAAGGTGGACTAGCACAAGAGGGAATTTCACAGAATCCCAGAACGTTCGGGATTGGAAGGGACCTCCAAAGCTCATCCAGTCCAATCCCCCTGCCGGAGCAGGAACACCCAGATGAGGTTGCACAGGAAGGCGTCCAGGCGGGTTTTGAATGTCTGCAGAGAAGGAGACTCCACAACCTCTCTGGGCAGCCTGGGCCAGGGCTCTGTCACCCTCACTGAGAAGAAGTTTCTTCTCCAATTGAAGTGGAACCTCCTGTGTTCCAGTTTGTGTCCGTTACCCCTTGTCCTATCATTGTTTGTCACCGAGAAGAGCCTGGCTCCATCCTCGTGACACTCACCCTTTAAATATTTATAAACATGAATGAGGTCTCCCCTCAGTCTCCTCTTCTGCAAACTAAAGAGACCCAGCTCCCTCAGCCTTTCCACATAAGGGAGAATTTGACAGGGAATGAGAAGTAACACAAACAAACAAAAAGCCAACAGCCTAAAGAGAGAAAAAAATCAGACTTCCAAGTACAAATTGTGTTTCAATATTTGTAAACACTACTGTGTTCACAGGTACATGTTGGTCAGGCTTAACAGTGAAATTAAAGAGAGCTTGTAGCAACACACTAATCTCCATTTTCTGCTGTTCCACCAGCAATTCATGCATTTCTACTATCACAACTTCTAATATCACTAATACCCATTTTCCTACGTCACATATACCTGACCTGTATACCTGCTGAATGAGTGTCTGGTCCCTGATGAAGAGGAGAACACTGATGTTAAGAAGTTCATAGATTCCCTGGTACTCCAGGAGGACAAAGTCATATACTGAACATGCAACTGAACTATGGACAGTCATCATCTATCAACATCATTTCTACAAATTTACAGCTTAAGTGAGTGCTTAATAAACACCAAAAAAAAGATTAAATCAAGATTTAAGTGCAACTTTTTCTTTTCTCTGAATATATGAACATTATTTTTTACAATGTCCATTAATAGTTAAGGTTACAATGAATCAGGAAGTATTACTGCTGCACTCAGCTAAGTAATTATGAAATTGTAATAAAAGTTATCACATATTTAGAGACAAACGTTGCATGAACAATAGCCAAACAAGCAGAAGGAAGAGTCATAGGTATCTGTCAGCTACAGCAAGTACCCATGAGGCTGTATCACACTACAGTGAAAACAAAGCTTCCTACCAGATCATTTTTTAAATCAGTGTATTCACCATGCATGGCAATAATCAGTGGTTTCTTTTTAACAACATGTCTCGTTTATCATCATTGTGGTTTTTGCAGTCATACATAGCTCTTGATCATGTTCCTCTAATAAACTTCAAGGAAAAAGTGGGAGGTTTTGGTTTGTTTAGGCTTTTCTGGATTGGCTTTCCCTCACCATACTCTTCAGCAACATACATTTCATTCCTGTCAGTCAATGGGTTAGTTGGTTGAAAGACAAAAATATCCTCTATTTTGCATCTGAAGGATAGAGAGAATAAATACAGGTTTCAGTACCACAGGACCAACACTAATAATAACCTGCTGGTACAACAGAATTCTCTTTACTTTGAGAAAAAGAAATTGCTTCAGCTATGAAGAAATACAGCACAGCATGGCATTTCCTCACTTTTTCTGTCAAAGCTCAGGTCTCAGTCTCAGAGGATTAAATCAGCTCAAACTTCTTCTAAGCCTAGTTAGAGGGGTTAAAAATGATAAAGGCTCCAAGCTATTTTCTTTAAAACTGAGTAACTCACTCATTCACGTCCACAGTTTTGTAAACTTGATGACATTTAAGGGGCATGGCAGTAAGAAAAAACACCAAGAGTATTATGTACTTTTTTAATGGAAAGACCTCTGTTACACCACATAGTAAAAATAAAGAGTCTGGACACTGTTAAGCAAGATGGAAGACTAAAATTACGCAGACAGCAAATGGTAGCAGTGCACATGTAGGCATTGCATAAATATTAAATACCCATGTTCTTACAAGACATCTATAAGTAGACCCTGCAAAGAAAATAAGAAAAAGGAACAACCATCTGCTTTAGAATTTCATAGAGTAAGGTTGTGACTATAAGAAAAGGAAAAAAAACCCAAACCACAGAACAAGTTATTAAGGCAAGATCTGTTCCAGGCTGTTCTTCCCCAGTGTCAGCCCCCTTGGAGAGAGGATCAGGTCTCCATGGTTAAGTAAACATTCAAAGATATTAATTTCTTTTGTCTTTCCAAACAGGGATGATTTGATCATCAAAAACAGCCTGTGTGAATAATATACAGTAATTAAAGAGATCTATTACCCTTGAAACTGTTTTAATAACAGGTGCAGTGAATCTATTAATGGATTATTAAATATAAAGATACTACATCTGGCTCAGAAAATGTCTTCAGCTCCCAATAACCTGCTGCTAAGAGCGACACCAGGGAAGCAGCACTCCCTGCTTGTGTACACTGTATATATCCATGGGTGCCACCGCTGGACACTGGGTGCCACAGCTCCAACAGGTATTTACCTGTTCTAATGCTAGCACTATTGAAAGGGTAAAGCTCACTTTAGGAGAAAAAAAAAAGAGGGGTTTTATAAGATTTTTTTTTTCCCAAAGCCAAGAATCTTAGGTGCATCTCAGTGCTACCCATATAGAAACTCGACTGTAACTTTTTGGAGATAATATGTTTCCTTGCAAACACAGGAAACAATAAAGCAATAGGGTTTATAAAAGGTTACCATTAATTAGTAGTAATTCATTAGTAGTTTGGGCAACCCAGAAACTCTGTAGTAATCTACAGACTGAAATTATTTAAGTAACTAAAGAACACTGTGAAGCAGACTGTGAAATGTAAAGGTTTTCCTCAGGGGAATATTAACTTCAACAGATTAGTCAGTTCTGACTAAATGTGACTACCTTTTACGAGTACAAAACAGTGTTAGAGAGAAAAACAAGAACCACCATTTCTTAATAACCTGAGGAAGCAACAATGTTGATGACTTCTCTCAAAACAAAATTATGGTATTAACCACTTAAAAGCAATTAAGCACACCGTACAGTGACTCTCATCCCAGGGGAACAAGCGTCCTATGAATAACTATGAATGTGCTACTTTACATAGCACAAAACCTAAACTCCTGAGTTTAAAATACTGGGTGGTTATCAGCTGACTGGATTTGCCAATCATATTATTTAAAAGCAGAGGTCTACATATAGTGATTGTATATTTAAACAAGGGGAGGAATTTCTTCCTCCTCATGAACTACAGATGGGAGGTTTTAATTCCAGAATTTAAAAGTGATGTTTAGATGAATTATCTGAAGAGTTTAAAGCAGGCCTGGACAAAAGCACAGCTAAAGGCTTTGCAATGGGTGAGGTGAGAGATGCTCCTCCATGGCCACCTCTGGTTTCCTCTCCTTCCCAGTCTCCACACCACACAACCGTTTGGACTGACAGATACAGACCCTACCCCAGACACAGATCCTTTAAAACCTCCCACGCTCAAACCTCTATCCCAATGAAAACGGGAGCAGTCAGGCTCCGGTCTGATACACGGGAATTACTGATTCTCCTCAAGAAACAACCTGACCATTTTGTATGAGTGAAAGCTTAACAAGATCAACTTTCCAAAACAGGGCATTAGAAAACACATCTCCGATCAAGAGAAGAAAGCGAGTTCAAGCAGCACGATGCTGGAAGAACAACCCTTCCAGAAGAAGAGGCTAAAAAGACACAGCTTTCACTTGTGCACAGTATTTACATGAGTTTCATTGAGATAAATAACCACATCAGCTTAATGCAACCAGTACAAGTTTATGTATGAATCATCTTACACAGAATTTTAAAAGCCTTATTTAGGTTTGACTGAATTCAGCAAGTAAGGCCATCTCAGGCTACTTAATAAAGCCCACATAGCGCTTTACATCTGTTTAGCTAAAAATTGAGACGGTTTACATTAAACAAACACAACACATGGATGAGACACAGACACAGGGCACTAGGAACTGCCA